CTTCCTCTCCCTCGTGTGCCTTCGGTCAGTCTCAGAGAGGATTCTCATTGGTGCGTTACTGAAATAATCCCGCCCCCTCTTCCTCCAATCCTGGAGTCGGAGTTTCTTTTCCTTCTGGTGGATTCCTCCGGTTGCGCAGATACAGTTTATCCTTAAGCCGTTCGGCACTGTTAGACTGCGGTGTGAGTGAGGGTGGGAATCCACAGGGTAAATAAAAACGTTATTTTAGTAGTAACAGTTACCTCTTACTGAGAGTGTACAGTATGCTAGGCTCTACTCATAAGAGACCACAGAGGTTGAGTGATTTTGATTTGATAAATCGGAAAATGGCAGGAGGGTCTGGAACCCCTGTCTTTCCAAACCCAGAGCTGGTACTTTGGCCACCGACTTGCTGCATTCAAATTACGTGGGGAATTAGAAAAGCTTTTTAGTAATAAGTTGGAGAGAACTGAAACGGTGTAAAGTGGAAAAATTAGTCATCCAATCTCTCATTCCCACTTATGCGGTGCGTTTAAAAAATACAAATTTTTGTCTGCCTCCCCTCCCCACTTCTGACTCCTACAATGTGGAGTGAGGGACAGGAATCTGAGGGTTTTTTTGTTTTGTTTCTTTTACAAATTCTCTGATGGTTCTGATGCATAGCTGGTTTTGGAAACACTGCAGTGTCCCCACTTGACCTCACTAAACTATGCTGTTTGTGTCTCCTCGGCATAGTTCATCTACCTGGTGCATCAGTATCACACAATGTTTCTTGGGGAAAATAATTTTCCAATAAAGGGGAACGTGCTCTGTTATATAATACATTTACACGTGTTATTACTATTTTTTTTTAAATTAAACACCTGATGCAAAGAAATGTTTTTCACTCACTGTGGGTGGCTTGTGTCTGTGTCCTCCCATCTGTGATATGTATGTTTGTTAATTTTTTTCTTACCTTAGGTGTACTTTAGTTGGCAAGACCAGGCACACAGTTTGTGGGATCAAGTGTGCAAAGTGAGAATGTGGGCCTCATGTTAAAAACTTACTAAAAAGCTGAAGACGGTGACCGCAGAGCATTAAACCAGGCTCAGGGACCTCCTCAAGTGGGGGCCCTGTGGGACTGTGTGGGCTACAAGTCTGTGAAGGTGAACCTGTTGGTTGGAAGCTTGAGAAGTACTGTTTTCATCCCCTAAATCTCCAGCTCTTCCACAGTGTGTCCTGCCCTGTTTTGGGGGCTCCCGATGTGCCCGGTGTCTTTGTCCCTCCTGCTGTTGTCCCTGCTCTGCAGGATTTCACAGGTCTGCAACTCTCTTTTCTTCTCTTTACTCTGCAGTTGCTGCCACGAGGAATCCCCTGGGACCCCGTCCACTCCACTGCTGAGCAACCACCTGCCTATTGAGCTTTCCTGCAGCCCTGCCCACTGCTTCTGTGGGACCCTGTGACGTGGGGGTCTGTCTGGCGGGAGAAGAAAATCCTCTCATGCTAGCGTTGCAGACCCCAGAGGGTGAGAAAAAGAGGGACCTCGTTCAGCCTTGAGACCTGTGGGCTCAGCCCCAGGGCACCGGGAATTCCTCCTCCCCAGAGAACCAAGGCAGCTCCCCTTGGTCAGTGGTTCCAAACCTTTCTACTATCCTCACCTCCTTTTGTTGTATGTATGTTCTCTTGTTCCCTGCATTCTTATCTGCCAAACTGTACAGATGAAGTATATTTATTTTTCCTTTTTCCAAATTAAGACATCTATGACTGAGTGTACAATAAAATCAAGGACCCCAGTGATTTCTATGATGTTGTCAACAACCAATCTGAACTTCTGATCAGCATGAGATAATCAGCGTGCCCACAATGAATTCATAAAATTTCAGCAGCAATGATAACCAACATTTAAATGTGCCTTTGTGGTCTTTTTGGGTCTTTTTGTGGGCAAATGTTTGATTTCTTTTGGATATTGTTCCATTGAAAACAACTTTAGGAGCATCAGTCTGATCTCAGTTGGCTCCTAGGAGTCTAACAGCCAGGTTGGGAACCACTTTGGCCATTGAGGCTTGTGCTGGATGTGCTTTGGGTGGGGTGGTAGGGAGCACAAACCAGAAGGAGTTGACCTTCCTGGTATTTAAAGTAAATTTTCACCTGGGGATTTCACCTGAACACAGTTCCTTCTCAGTCCCATTGGTTCTTTTAGCAACAAAATTGCTTCTTGCTCTGTAGTGTAGAATGGGGCATCTAATTAGATGCCATGTCCATTCCTGGGCTGTGCTGTGTTCCAGTTAGATTTTACTGGATAAGAAAAGGGAAGAGGAGGAGTTAACTCTTCCCTCCTACGGGGATAGCTTCTAAAAGACACACCCGGCTCTGTCTTGGCTGCCACTGTTGGTTTTGGTAAACACTGGCAGAATGAATAGGTACCATGCTGAGCACTAGAGAGGGCTGAACTGGACTCGGTTTTGAGTCCTGGGAGTGATGACAGTCCAATGAGGAGACAAACCCATTTGATGGACCAGACTTTGCGTACACAGTGGAGATGCTCGTGGCCTTAAGGAGGGGCTCTGAGCACCTAGCCTGGGGAAGGGAGAGTCAAGGAGGAATTCCTGGAGGATGTGAGCCTAGTGATAAGCCAGGCAGAGAATTGGGGAGAGTATTTCAGGCCAAAAAAGCAGCAGGAGTGCACCCATTTTACAGCTGAGGGAACTGCAATCTGAGGGCTCTTTCTGTGGCACCAGGCTGCCCCTCCAGGACAGGACTGGATTGATTTCTTCACATGTGCAGGTGGTCACTGGCGCCCCTGGTGGATTGTAATTGGTGGGTGGGGAGGTGGAACTGACCTCCATGCCCTGCTATCTGTGACACCCTTCGGTCCTCTGTGTGGCAGGTCCGGTGTGGGTGCTGAGATGGCCAATGAGAATCACGGCAGTCCCCGGGAGGAGGCGTCCCTGCTGAGTCACTCCCCGGGGACCTCCAATCAGAGCCAGCCCTGTTCTCCAAAGCCCATCCGCCTGGTGCAGGACCTCCCAGGTACTGGTGAGGGACAGTGGGCGGAGGGGGGGTGGTGGTGGTAGCAGGGTAGGAAGGGTGCCCAGGAGCAGCCCTGACCCTGGCTGGGTTCCATGCCTGTTTGCAGAGGAGCTGGTGCACGCAGGCTGGGAGAAGTGCTGGAGCAGGAGGGAGAACCGTCCCTACTACTTCAACCGATTCACCAACCAGTCCCTGTGGGAGATGCCCGTGCTGGGCCAGCATGACGTAATTGTGAGTGGCGGCCTTGGGCAGAGGTCTCAGAGCAGCTTCTGGCATCTGGGCCTTCCCCAAACATACCCTGAGCAGCTGTTACGTACTTAGTCCTGTCGGGACCCAGGGACACGATGACAAGCAAGACACAATTCCTGCCCTCTCAGCAACTACACTCCAGCATGGACGACTCGTAAAAAGATGATTAAAATAATGTGACACTGACCTTGTGTTGCACGTTGGGCACCGTGCCCACGATGCGGTTGTGAACGAGATAGACCTGGTCCTGCCCTTGCACTTTGCACGCTTAGGGGGCAAGTGGTCTACTAGGGGGAGGGGAGGATTACAGTGTAGCACCTACAAGAAGAGGAATGTCATAGTAGCAGGGATCCTGCCTGGGCCTGGGGGAGGGGAGGGGACAGGGAAAGCTCTGCGTCGGGGTTTAAGGTGAGGAGGTTAGCTCAGTGAGGGGAGGAAGAGGTGAGAAGCGCTGTCTAGAAGCAGAGATGTCAGCTTGTTGGGGAAGTAGAGGCACTGGCTGCCTGGTGGAATGTGGGCTTTGAGGTCTCTGTCAGTTGAGGCACTTTCTTTTTTGGGCACGATCAATCCCCATTTTGCAGATGGAGACACTGAAGCTCAGAGAGGGGGAGTGATGTGGCCCAAAACCTCAAGCCAGTAAGAGGCAGAGCAGGACTCACACCTGATGGGCTTTCAGGGCCACACCTTGCCCACCATCACACTCTTCTTCTTAGTGTCACCAAAGGAGTTCCATTCACAGGGAACTTTTTAAATGCTTCTTAAAAAATGAGCATTTCCTAAGGTTTTCCTTTATTCTTGATTTTCATCCTGTTTCTTAAGGAAAAGAAACTAACATGTACTGGGCACTGATCTCATGTCAGATGTCACATTAAACTGGTTGTAGTCATTGACTCATTTAATCTCTTCAGTGGTGAGGCAGGGAAGGTGAGGGAATTAGGAAGGGAAAGAACTCCCCCGGGTCATACAGTTGCCAAGCAGTAGGCAGGAGTGGAGCCCAGCATTCCTTCGGCCTCCCAGCCCCCTCTGCTCTTCTCCAAGGAGTAGGAGCAGGGGGCAGGAGGGCATCAGGGTTCTGCAGTACTGGGACTTCTAAGCCTCTGACCCTGGTTGCAACTCTGCTGGTCTCTCTCCACTAGTCGGACCCTTTGGGGCTGAATGCGACCCCCCTGCCCCAAGATTCAAGCTTGGTGGAAACCCCCCCGGCTGAGAACAAGGCCCGAAAGCAGCAGCTCTCAGACGAGCAGCCCAGCGGCAATGGCGTGAAGAAGCCCAAGGTGAGTGTGTGTGGACGCTCAGGAACTGGCTGGTCGGCAGCGGCCCAGGCAGCTGGCAGGCCCCCACGAGGGCTGGGCATCAGCAGGCTGGTCGGGGGTGCCATGTTGGAGCTGTGGGCCAGCTCTCTTGACCTGGTGCCTTTGATTCTTTCTCCAGATTGAAATTCCCATGACACCCACAGGACCGTCAGTGCCCAGCTCCCCCAGTGTCCCAGGAACCCCAACACTGAAGATTTGGGGGACATCCCCTGAAGATAAACAGCAGGCGGCTCTCCTCCGACCCACTGAGTGAGTCTTGGCTGATCAGTGTGGGGGCACCCATCGTTGGCGGCCAGCCTGCCTGGGATTGAGGGCTGGGGTCGCAGGCAGGGCATCCCTCCTTTTCTCATTGCTCCTGCCTGTGCCCCAGGGTCTACTGGGATCTGGACATTCAGACCAACGCCGTCATCAAGCACCGCGGGCCTTCAGAGGTGCTGCCTCCACATCCCGAGGTGGAGCTGCTCCGTTCCCAGCTCATCCTGAAGCTCCGGCAGCATTACCGGGAGCTGTGCCAGCAGCGAGAGGGTAATTGCCTCCTGGATCCCGGCCTCCTTTGTCTTCATCCACCGTTAGCACAAGCTGGGGATTGGCCATCTGGGCTTGGGGAGCACACAGTGGAGCCCAGTGGTTTAGAGTGTGTGCTGTGGGAGTCCAGCTCCACTAACTGCTGGCTCTGTGACCCCGGGCTCATAGCTTAACCTCTCTGCACTTGTGGTACCTCATCTGTGCGATAGTGACAGGAACAGTGCCTACAGAGAGGGTGGCTGGGGTCAGTAGTACCAAAATGACAGAAATAATTGTTAACACTTCCACAGTGCTTACTATCTGCCAGGCACTGTTCGAAGCCTCTTTATGTATCCGTAAAATGGCATAAAAACGAGAGCACCTACCCCTCACAGGATTACTACAAGGAGTAAGTGCTTAATAAACCTCAGCTTTTATTAATTAGTAAATAAACTTGCTTAACTTCGCTGAAATATAGAATCTCTCCTTCCCTTCTTTGTTACCCTTTGTAACACTCCTTATAAAACTAGTGATTCTCAGAATGTATTTTGGAAATGTTGCTGAGGATGTAAGCTCCTGACATCACAGGGGCCGGGTCTTGTTCACTGCTGCACCAGTGCTCGCACCGCGCCTCCTGTGTACTGGCCCACGTGGAGCCCGCTGGCTGAACCCAGACCTTCATCAGCTTTCCTGTCCCTCAGGCATTGAGCCCCCTCGGGAATCCTTCAACCGCTGGATGCTGGAGCGCAAGGTCGTGGACAAAGGTTCTGATCCCCTGTTGCCAAGCAACTGCGAACCAGTTGTGTCACCTTCCATGTTTCGAGAAATCATGAATGACATTCCCATCAGGTACAGCCCCAAGAGCTGGGGTGGACCCAGGCAGCTTGGCTTGTGTGCCCAGTCCCACAGAGAAGGGCTCTAACTCTGTCTTCTAATCTCTCTAATGCAGGTTATCCCGAATCAAGTTCCGGGAGGAAGCCAAGCGCCTGCTCTTCAAATACGCGGAGGCTGCCAGGCGGCTCATTGAGTCTAGGTTTGGCTCTGTGACCAGAGTGGGGAGGGCAAAGGCCACCTGACCTACTCATAGGGCTCTGTCATTGTTGGTGGCAGGAGTGGGGCCACCTCCCAGAGGTAGAACAAGGGCTGCGGTGTAAGCCACTATTGGAAGTGGTGGGGGGAGGAGCTAGGAAGGTGGGGTACATTAACAGCCAGCCCCTTAATGCACCCTCGCCTGGCAGGAGTGCATCCCCTGACAGCAGGAAGGTGGTCAAGTGGAACGTGGAGGACACCTTCAGCTGGCTGCGGAAGGACCACTCTGCCTCCAAGGAGGACTACATGGTGAGTGGCCCTGGGCAGGTGGCCAGTGGACTGGCTTTGTGGCCACTGCCTCTGAGATGCCCACTCTGCTTGCTGAGGCGGGCAGCCAGTTTTTGTGCAGTGCAGCACACCTGACACTCCTCGGTCCCCAGACTCACGTCTGTGGAGATGTTTGTCTAGGCTCCTGGCTTTCTCCCAAAGAAAACTTCCATTCAGGTTCTTAATGGAATCCTTTGCTCGGCCACACGTCATAAACAGCTGCCTTTTCCACTTAATGAATATTCAACATCTCCCTTTAGATTTTTAGAAACAGACCAACAAACTGCCTTTTCTCAGCTGTGTGTGGCCCTGTCTCAGTTAAGGGCTACCGCCAGGTTCAGTTGCCCACTTTAATGCATTGAAAACAATTCTGTTTCCTGGCCCAAACCCATCACTTCTTTAACTCTCCACCAGCACTAGCAATGGACTTTCTTTTCAGGACCCTTTTTCACAAGAGACAAGGTTTCGCACTTCACGGTAGTAACTGTGTACTTGACACGTAGAGTGACAAAGGTAGGTGTACTCACTAGCCAGAGTGACTTATTTTCACCCATCACTTTCACACGTGCAATTCAGCAAAATTACAAATGCCTACAGTTAACCTTACAAGTCACTAAAAGCTCAAACTGCAAATCTGCAGTGACCAGGGGGATCCTGACTTACGATGGTCCCTCTGGTAGAGCAGGGATGGTGCCGGTTTTTCTGTTCCCCAGCAAGTATCATGAGATTTGGCACAGTGTAACTCCAACAATAAGTGCTGGCATTCATTGGGCACTTACTGTATGCCAGGGGCCTGGTAAGCCCTTAATGGAAGTGATCGTATTTGATACTCCGACTGCCTTGTTAGGTTCAGTGTCGTGTGTTCCCTGAACAGTTGAGGAATAAGGTTCACGATTCCCAGGGATTTGTCCAACTCACACAGCTAGTAAGTAGCAGAGACTGTTTTAAAATGAGGACTGTTGGAATCTCGCAGCCCTCCCTGCCAGCCTACTAAAGCCCTGATCAGGAGTGTCTCCTCCAGGATCGCCTGGAGCATCTACGGAGGCAGTGTGGCCCCCATGTCTCGGCCGCAGCCAAGGACTCGGTGGAAGGCATCTGCAGTAAGATCTACCACATCTCCCTGGAGTACGTCAAACGGATCCGAGAGAAGCACCTTGCCATCCTCAAGGAAAACAACATCCCAGGTAGGGGGCTGGTGTGATGCTGTCAGCTCGGCATCCCAGGCCCTGGCTGAAGGGACAGGTGAGGCTGAGCTGCAAGGCTGCGGAGTGGTTTGGGGAAGCCCGTTTCTCAGGGCAGTGTCTGGGCAGGATTTCGCCACTCCTCTAGGAAGCAGAAGTGATGAGAAAGGGAGAGCCGGAGGTGGGAAAGGCAGGCCAGGGATGAGTAGTTAAGTGGATCTGCGTTTACACCCAGTCCCTGTAAGCCTCACTGAGGTCATACCTAGCCCCAGGATCATGAGGATTCAGTGGGAATTCAAAGTGCTGGGCCCCAAAAAATCCCAAAATAAGGTACTGTGACTGGTGACGAAGACCATGGCAGCAGACCCACAGCCTGTAGTTTGCCTCCCTGCCTGCCAGGCCCCGAGGCGGGCGGACCGGGGCCCGTGTCAGTACAGAACAGGCGGACATGAGCCACAGTTGTCGCCCTGCCAGTGGCCTGGCTGTTTCCTTTGTTACGGAACTGTCTGAGCTGCAGTTTATTCCTCCCTGGGATGAGACTTACCTCCCTTGGTTACTGCATGTGTGAAGCTCCTGGCCTGTGGTGGGCACTGAGGCTGTGCAGGGTGAGAGTTGGCGGCCCCTCACTGATCTCCTGCCCACAGAGGAGGTGGAGGCCCCCGAGGTGGAGCCCCGCCTGGTGTACTGCTACCCAGTGCGGCTGGCCGTGTCTGCGCCTCCCATGCCCAGCGTGGAGATGCATATGGAGAACAACGTGGTCTGCATCCGGTACAAGGGCGAGATGGTCAAGGTCAGCCGCAACTACTTCAGCAAGCTGGTAAGAGCTGGGGGGAGGGGGAGGCGGGTCCCCTCAGGTGGGAGACATGAGGCTGGCTCTTCCTCCACCTGGAGTCTTCTGCAGGAGGCCAGTGAGAGAGGGAGGGTTCGCTGCTGAAACCTACTGCTTTCTGTCCCACAGTGGCTCCTTTACCGCTACAGCTGCATTGATGATTCTGCCTTTGAGAGGTTCCTGCCCCGAGTCTGGTGTCTTCTCCGACGGTACCAGGTACAGGCCTGGGGCAGCTGGGGCAGGGCTCGACTGGAGGGGGCGGGGAGGCTGCACCCTGGAGGCTGAGCAGGCCGCTCTGCAGATGATGTTCGGCGTGGGCCTCTACGAGGGGACAGGCCTGCAGGGATCGCTGCCTGTGCACGTCTTCGAGGCCCTTCACCGACTTTTCGGCGTCAGCTTCGAGTGCTTCGCCTCGCCCCTCAACTGCTACTTCCGCCAGTACTGCTCTGCCTTCCCCGACACAGATGGCTACTTTGGCTCCCGCGGGTGAGAGCCAGGGGTTCCCCTGTGGGTCCTCTCTCACCTAAGCAGCTGTCCTCCAGAGCACAGAGGCCCACCTCGATCAGCTGCTTCCTAGAGCTTTCGGACTTTGGAGTCAGGCAGTCTTGGGTGGAGTCCTCGCCATCCCCCCTTACCAGCTATGTGACCTCGGACCTGTTGCGGAACCTCTAGGAGCCTGCAAAATCCCCTAACCCAGCCTGTGGCTTGCTTGTTGAATTAGCCCAGGTTTGGAGTAGGAGCACCTGATTCTGGGCATTGAGAGGAATGCAGGGTGGAGATTTTACAGACTAGCATGGTGGTTGGGGGAGCACAGATGAGAGGGGAAGATAGTGCTGCCTCCAGTAGGAAAGTGTGGCCAGGCCAGCAAGAGGGAAAAGCCTGGCAGTTGGGGGATTCCTGGGTGTGGCTTGTGCTGTGGTGGCAGCAGGGTCAGAACTGGATTTGGGCTCTAGCTCCTCCACTAACCAGCTTGGTGAACTTGGGCCCTCCAGCCTGAGCCTCTCTGTTGCCATCCATTCAATAGAGATAGCCACACCCTATCCCAGGACAAATTAAGGGTGAATGTTGGCCTCTGGCCTGACCCCAGCCATCTCTTCAAAGCGGCTGTCTAGGAGTGGGGGCATCGCCTGTTTTTGGTTGAGGGACTGTGTCCCGGTAAGACTTAGAATGCTCACCTCTGTCCCCAGGCCCTGCCTGGACTTCTCCCCGCTGAGTGGTTCCTTCGAGGCCAACCCTCCGTTCTGCGAGGAGCTCATGGATGCCATGGTATCTCACTTCGAGGTGGGTGTGTTGCTGCTGGGGGTGGGGGTGGCGAGCAAGCTGCCCAGCCATCTGGAGGACAGCCCCTGACATCCACCCCGGGCCCCCTCCCACAGAAACTGCTTGAGAGCTCGCCAGAGCCCCTGTCCTTCATCGTGTTCATCCCTGAGTGGCGGGAACCCCCGACACCGGCGCTCACCCGCATGGAGCAGAGCCGCTTCAAGCGCCACCAGCTGGTCCTGCCTGCCTTCGAGCATGAGTACCGCAGTGGCTCCCAGCACATCTGCAAGAAGTGGGTGCTGGGGAGGGTGGGGCAGGAGGGCCTGGCTGACCAGGCCAGGCCGGGCCCCTCCCTGAGCTGCTGCCTTTGCCCACAGGGAGGAAATGCACTACAAGGCCGTGCACAACACAGCCGTGCTCTTCCTACAGAACGAGCCCGGCTTTGCCAAGTGGGGGCCGACGCCTGAGCGGCTGCAGGAGCTGAACACAGCCTACCGGCAGTCAGGCCGCAGCCATGGCTCCGGCGGCTCATCGTCCTCCTCGGAGGCCAAGGACCGGGACTCAGGCCGCGAGCAGGGCCCCAGCCGCGAGCCTCACCCTACTTAACACATCCTGCGGGGAGGAGGAGCCCCAGAGTGCTGGTATGGACTGCTGGGACTCAGGCCTCTCGGGGCTGAGCGGACCCTAGGACTCTCCCTCTGGGGGGCAGCAGGACTCAGGCTGCCAATGACATAGGAAGATTATGGCTCTGCCAGGGCTCCCCCTCCCTGCCCCAACCTCCCACCTTCCCATCTCAGACTCACTCCAAGGCCCTTGTAAATAGGCCCTATGCCTTCCCTCCCTTTCCCCACCCCCATCCTGTTGCCACCTTGTTTCATTTGTAAAAGGAAATACAGAACCCCCCCCCCAAAATGTGTGAGGGTCTTGAGGGCAGAGAAGGCTGCAGAACCTGGAGCTCCTTCTGGGACCGCACCCCTATACCTCCAGGCTCACCTTCTCCTGACCCCTGGGCCTTCACACCCTAAACCAGGGCTCTGGCATTTAACTAACTTCTCATCCCACTGTCCCCGCAGCTGGGCCCCGTGCTCGTACCCCTGGGAAGCAGCGGGTAGGTAGCTGTGTCCAGGTAGAAAGCTAGACCCTTGTGGGCCCTGGAGCCACCACAGGGATTGGGAAGCCAGGGTTTTACAGTTGAGGGTCAGAAGGAAGAGCGGCTCAGAGCCACCAGGTCTTAGGGTTTGGCATCGGTACAGGCACCTGGCTGTGTTCCGAGGATCTCTGGGCATGGTGCCAGTGCTCCCTTGGGGCTGGGAAGGAAGCAGGGTCTGAAGGGGCTCAGTGGGGTTCTCACCAGCTTAGCCATCTCCCAGTTATCAGGCCTCTGCCCCAAGCAAGGGTCTGCCTTGCTGCTGGGCCACTGTACTTACAGAGCCCAGGCAACAGACACCACAGGGCTGGGCAGCCTCCACCTCACTCCCCTCTTTGTGGGCTGTTAACGGGCTCCTCCTGCTTCCTAAGTCCTTGCTGGGTTCAGGCTGTAGCAGCAAGTGGACAAAGTGAGCTGGCCAGGGCTGGACTCTGGTCCCTTTATTGAGACTGAGGGTCCAAACAAAAATAAACCTCTCTTCCAAAGCCTGCCTGCAGGCTGGGGCCCCAGCATGTCCTGGCTGGGGCCCATGGCTGTCCCCTACCCTCAGCAGCACAGATCTGGCTCCCCAGGAGTGACAGGATGCTGGCTGCTAGTATCTGAGACCCTAGGTGGAGCAGGGAGTCAGTCCCCGTGGGCCCCTCACCCCCAGCTGGGCTGGCCCCAACATCCATGGTCTGAGTTGGATCCCTGGGGCTCAGTCATCCGTCAGCGTGATGACGTCGTACTCGATGCCCTGGTGTTGCAGCTGTTGGATGTGTTCAGGCACTGCCTCCTCTGTGCCAAACAGACCTTGGGCTTGGGCCATGGCAGCATCAGCCACCGCTGCCAGGGGAGGGGAAAGGATAGTGAGCCTGAGGCCCAGGTGCTAGGCCTGGACCTCAGGCCCCCGTGATCCTCAGGGTCCAGCCCCCATACCTGTGACAGCTGAGTGTGCTGCAGCCTCAAGCTGGGCCTGTGTGACAAGCTGCTGGCTGGGGGACACGGGCACGTACTGGATCTGGAGGAGAGAAGCCAATGAGATATGGCCTTACCGGACCCTAGCCCATGCCCCTGCTCCACCTGGTTCCCCAAAGGGCCCTACCTGGGACTCCTGAAGAAAAGGGGCCCCTCGTTCATACTGGATGTGTGTGATCTGGCCCTCCTGTACCTGGAGAGAGGAAGCCAACCCAGTAATCCTAGGAGGAGAATGTACATCCCTCCCCTCACTCTTGTCCCAGGTCTGGCCTACCTGGATGTGATGGCCCTCTGGGACCACAACATATTCCTGGGGTAGCAGGTGCTGGACACCATCCTGAGAGATAATGTACTGTACCTGAAGAAGGATAGAGAAGAGGCAGGTGCTGGGGGTCTGCTCACCAGGAGCTCAGCAGGGAAGGCAGACCAGGTGACCAGAGACACACCCCTGATCAACAATGGCAGCTGCAAGCAAGGGACCCCCAGAGTGGTGGTTTGGAAAGTACTGTCCCTCCTCAAAGTGGGCCTGGGGCTGGGTGGGGAGGGAGGAGTGTGGGCACTCATGTCTGAGGTGGTCAGCAGCAGCTCACCTGGTTATCAGACGTCACCAGGTGCTGTACTGTCTGGCCATCTGCCGTAGTGATCTCTTGGATATAGGTGGCTTCCTCCTGCCAGGGCCAAGCCACCTCTAGCTTCAGATCTCTAGGCATCCCCACCCCTGCCTGTGACCTACCATGAGGGCCCCCAATTCAGGCTCTCACCTGATTGGTCACTGTCTGTTCCTGGGCCACAATGATGTGTTCCTGGCCCAGCGCCTGCTGTAGCCGCTCTGGGCCTAGAACCCCGTGACCGGACTGGAGTGCAGCTGGGCAGAGAGGAAGACACTCAGGGGCTCTGGAGAAACCTGAAATGCCCTGGCCCGACTCTGGCCCACGGGTGCTCTCTGGGGCAGTGGCTCAAGTCTCTTATCCACCCTGGGGCCCCAGGGGCAGCTCACTGTGCAACGTGGCCAGTGTCTCATCATCACTGTTCAGGATGATGGTCTGGGTGGGGGTCCGGGCTGGGGCCCGGGCAGTCGGGGTTGCTGCTTTTCTCCCATCAGGACTGTGCAGCCGCTGGATGTGGAACTTGAGGTGCCCGTTGCGGTTGAACCTGAAGGGGAAGGAAGAAGGCTCAGGGGCAGCCCCACCACATGTGCCCAACAGCCTGTACCCCCATGCACCTGGCCTTACCGCTGCCTGCAAAGGTGGCACTCGAAAGGCTTCTCATTGGTGTGGGTCAGCATGTGCCGGCGCAGGTCCTTCTTATTCTTGGAGGCAAAGCTGCACTGGCTGCACTGGTGGGGTCGCAGGCTTGAGTGCTGTGCCATGTGGGCCTGCAGACGGGCAGAGTCAAGGGTGTTGGCTGGGTCAGGACAGACAGCTCTCCCCAGATAGAGCTGCTAGGGACCCTGACCTCAGTGCCATGGATCTGGGAGGAGCCGAGTAAAAAGTACACGCCAGACTAAGGTCTAGTGCTGCTGGGTGTTGGGAGAAAAGCCACAGGCTCCGTCACTAGGCCACCTGGAAAGCCCTGTCCCTACTCAGACTCAGTTCACCCCCCTATGTAACTAACACACAGGCTCAGATGAGGGCCCACTGAAGGTCTCTTGCAGCCCTAACGCTTGAGCCCTGCTTCCCTCACTGTGCTGCTGAGGAGTCAGTGTGGTTGCATCTGGGAACAGGTGGTCCTCAGGCAAATGGCCAGGGGCCCTGGAACCCAGCCTTCTCCACACTGCCCCTGCTCCCTTGGACTCTGCCCTCTGTATCCTGCAGGACTTGAATCTCCCTGGCGTGCCACTGCCTCTGTGACATCTTCCCCAGTATCCCAAGCCCACGTGACTCATCCCGTTGTGCTCTGCTGTGTTCACGTAGTTCCCCCTGGGGACACTGTCGGTCTGTTAGTCACGTGGCCTGGTTTGCCTTCCCACCAGACTGAGCTCCCTGACAGCTGGGGCCCTGCTGAGTCAGTGGGGAGGGAAGGGCTTTGCCTGAGGGGATGCTCAGTCAAGGTTTGTTACACGGTCAGGTGCCAGCAGAGGCACATGGGACACCTACCCGGACCTCAGGCCACTGGCGAGCACTGAAGGGGCAGTCGGGGCACTTGAAGGCACTAGGCCCAGCGTGGGCCCGTTTGTGACTCTCCATCTCAGCTCGGCCAGGGAAGGCCTCAGCACAGATCTTGCAGGAAAATTTCTTTGATGATGCAGTGGCTGCAGATGGTGGCGAGGAGGGCACTACCAGGCCCAGGGCTTTGCTGGCTGCAGGAGGTGGGGAGGCAGAGCCCTGGGGGTCCCCTACCCGGTGGGTCCTGGCTGGAGACAGGGGCTCAGGGCCGTCTCTGGGCAGCCCCCCACACTGCAGCAGGGGCCACTTTGCTCCAGAGGCCAGGGCATCCGGACTTGGGAAGGAGATGGAGCCATCTGCAGTCAGCTGTGGAGAGACTGGGGAACATGAGGCACAGAGGGAGGGAAGGATGAGAAATGGGGAAGTGGCGGGCTACCCCGAGCCTCACCTCAATGTGGTGCAGCTGGGTCCCATCGGCTGCCATGATGTAGTGGGTGCCAGCTTCTTTCAGGGTGTCGCTCACAACCACAGCCTGGGCTGCCTCTCCTGGGGGCTCCTCACTGTGAGCACAAAGGAGGGGAGAGGTGAGGCAATGTTCTCTGAGAGGCTGGAGGGCCACAGGAGTCCCCTTCCCCAAGAAAGTCATCAGCTGAGTGACTGCCACCACAGGTAGAGCCCCAGTTTAAATCCTGGCTGCGCCTCTTACCATCCAATCCTTCACTGCCTCTTCAGTAAATGGTGACCACGTGTCTAATGTATTGTCCTGCTCAAAAGTGGTCATCCCTACTCTCTTAATGGGCATGGGTGGCGGGTTGAAAGGCCCCTGGGGTCAAGCCCAAGGCCGGCCAAGTGGGGCAGAAAGAGAGAGCAAGTGGGGGCAGCAGGGCTGATAAGGACCCACAGCCCATGAGCAGATGCTGAGACTGGGCTGCTCAGGTGCTGGCCCCGGGATCCGGACTCCCATCCCAGCTAAACAATTCGGTACTTAGATGCAGGGCTTCCTCAGAGTGCCTAGGGGTTCGACAAACGTGGAAAACAAACACTTCTGCCCCAAACGTGCTCAGTGTAAAGGAAGCCAGGCACACCTGCAGGGCCTCCAGTTTTGTTAAGGCGCCTGAGCTCCTTCCAAAGGTCAGAACTGGAAAACACCTTCGAGACCATCCAGAACAAAGCACACATGAGCCAGCATTCAGATCTACTGCATGTCTGACCTTAGGTGAGTTCCTTCACCTCCCTCCTCGTTTGTAAAGTGAGAGAAACGTGGATCTCACGGAAATGGTTTAAGCGAGTTCATGAATGTCAAGTACCTGGAACATCTTCAGTGGCCAAAAAATTGTAGCTCTTGACCTCCTGCAAGGGATATCACTTCCCTACAGGCCAATCATTTTACATGTATTAGGAGCCAACTAGGCTTGGGTGGGAAGGTGGGGTCCTCATCTGACTCCCCCCCAGCACACCTATAAATGGCTGAATGGGGTCTTGCAGGCGGCAGGTCTCACCTGTAAGGTGTGCCGGGAGCTGATGTGCCCTCCTCCACAGGGGGTGCCGTGATGACGCTGTAACCAGCCCCGCTGAACGGCCCAGGTGCCAGGGTGATCTGCTGTAGGTCGGGGGGGCCTAGCTGGCTCTCAGCAGCCACACTGCCCCCTGGCTCTGCCACGTGCAGGGTTACCACTTGGGGAGTGGCACCTGCTGGGGAGGGC